AAAAAAAAAAAAAAAAAAAAAAAAAAGAAAGAAATATCGTTTGGCTAAATAAATACACAAGGCAGATAATAAATATGCTTTTCACAAATACACAAAGTATACATATATAAGGAAAAGATTCAAATAGACTCTGGAAACACTTGCACAAAGTTGTTCAAAGCAAAGCAAAGATGCCTTTTTACGAGTGTTATAAAAACACGGAGACTTGCTCTAGGATTTCATTAAAGCTCCATCAATGATATATGCACAGCCATTAGATGGAATCAGCCGTATTGCTGATAGCAAACCATTCCACCAAATAACCAAAAACATTTTTAAAAAAATCAAATGATACTCATCAAAACCAAATGTAACGAGTAAATGAGCAGGTTTGTTCTAACAGAATCTTGGGAGTCAAACACTGTCTTGTGTTTTACAAAAGCCCAAACCTCCTTTCTCAACCTGAATTACTTTTACCTGGACCTCTACTTTTCTTTCAAACATCCTTTTACATCATTTGTCTGACCCTGCTTCCATACACTGTCCCTCCTTCCCTGTCTTCTACGGCCCTCTGAAGTCCTTGGAGAAGTTCACCAACACCAGCTCAAGTGTGGCCTCTTGGCCTGGCACTGGCACCGCCCACTTTCCTTCCATCTTCTCTGAATTCAGTAAAGTCCCAACATACAAATACAATTACAGCAGGAAGTAAGCATTATAGCCAAAATAAGTATTCTAGTTTTTTAGCATTGTTTCTAGCATTGTTGTTGTTTGAGACAGGGCCTCATTGTGTAGGTCACGTTTGGCCTTGAACTCTTGATCCTCCTGTCTGAACATCCAGAATGTTTGGAATATAGGTATGCGCCAGCATCCCCAGCAACATTCTAGTTTTTAAAGAGGATTTATCATAAAGCATTTTTCACTGAAATCAGACAAAGAAAGCTTTGTGACTATGGCTCTAAAAAGAACCTATGTAAAAAAAGGAAGTGTGTTAAAATGGGCTAGTGCTGATAGTAAAAATTACACAATAACATAAAGTAAATTAAATTAACAAGCAGTCCTTACCATTAACCCTTCTGTAAAATATTGCACATGATAGTCTTTTCTTTTTGTCTATAAGGGAGGCAAAAGACAACAACAAAAATACATGGGTGAAGTCTAAGTAGAATGTACAATGCCTGCATATATACTACAGTCCTAAGCAGTACGAACCTGGATAATGAAGGCCAACCCTGGGAGGAGCAATGTACCTCAATCACCAATTCTTGAGATCAGAGGGGACTGGACTGGTGTGTATACCATAGGTGGGGAGCCCAGACTACTGGAAGGACTTTGGAAATGAGCATCAAAGGAGCTTGGTGTAATCCCAATCACAGAATCATTTTGAGACACTTCACCTTTTAAAAAGTCATCATCTTCATCTTCTACTATGTCCTAGGATAAAAAAATCCAGATTATCAATAAAATCACAAATAATGGTTTGAAAGCATTCAAGAATTTCTTTCCTGTTCAGCACAGTGGTGTGCACTTGTAATCCCAGCTACCAGGGAAGCTGAGGCAAGAGATCACTTGAGCCCAGGAGATTAACATCAGCATAGACAATAACACCTTATCTCAAAACCAAAATACCCTATTGATAAGAATGTGCTAGTTTTTTTTTTTTTTTTTTTTTTTGAGACAGAGTCTCACTATGTAGTTCAGGCTGGCCTAGAACTTGTGGCAATCCTTCTGCCTCAGGCTCCCGAGTGCTAGGATTACAGGAATGTGCCACCATGCTTGGGCAGGAATGTGCTATTTCTATAAATAGATAAAATATCTTCATTTCAAAATTAAGTCTTTTTGATATTTAGCTCATTATTACAAATAACCCAAATGATTGCTCATTCACTATTATTAACCTCAATGAGGGTAGATAACATAGCATGGTATTCTTGCTCAATGTTCTAGCTCTTGTATCTAAAAAGACTGTGAGTGAATGAATGATCCCCAAACTGCAAAATATAAATGAAAAAGTAACTAAGCTTTCCAAAAATTACTTATTAAGCATAGGAAGAAGATGGGGCAGGGAACTCAAGGGTAGAGCACTTTCCACAATGCACAAGGCCCTGGCCTCCATCCTAGCACCAAAACAGCAACAAGAACATAACTCAAGTCTGCACTTTTGCAAAGGCAAAATGAACATAATACGGTATTAATAAAGTGTAATATTTCTATTTACTGTATGACTGTGGCCCATACCCACAAGATTTTAGAGAAAGTGTGCTACATTTTAATTTTACCTTTTTAATGGGTTTCTTAAATTCCTGAAGCTCTTCAGCACTAATGTCTTCCCATGTTTGATAAATAGGATCAATGAATTTCTTTGACCTGTCAGCAGGGATCACATTTGAAAGTCAAGTTCACTATTTCACCAAAAGTCACATGTTATACTTTTTTCTCACAAGATCCATTTTCTAAAACCAAGAAGGCTACAGCTCAGATAATATTTAAAATATTCTATGTAAATACTGTAACTGATGTGGCTCTTTTTTCATTATCTTTATTCACCCCTACAAATAAGATTTCAAATGGAAACTACAAGGAGTGATTAAAGTGCATGTATAAATTTTATTTTATTTATTTAGTTTAATTATTTTAGTTTTTGAGACAAAGCCTCACTATGCAGTTCAGGCTGGCCTTGAACTTAAAGCAATCCTCCCACCTCAATCTCCCAAGTGCTGGGAATCTCCCATGTGCCACCATGCCTGAATATATTTTAAAAAGTTTAACAGGAAAAAAAATACATTGCCAAGAATGATGAGTGTGTTCAAACACTCTTGGCAGGGGAGTGTTCTGGGGGTAAGATAGGTTAAATCTCAAATTTAGCAAAAGTAAGTACCTATTGCAATCAAGCTCACCACTGTCAATGTCCAGTGCTTGGAATGACCTACCTCTTAAGCACACAAGGATCAAAGGGGAAGAAAGTGTCAAGTGGGTTTGTGCAGGTCTGCACTGAGTCTCCTCCAGCTGTATTTCTAATAACTGGTAGCATCTGCCGATTGTTCCTCTCAATGATAGTGTAGCAGAAGACTAGCTGGTACTTACTGTGGAGCACCAAAACCAACACAGATAGAGACAATTAACAAGCTGGAATTATTCTTGCATGGATGTAACACATGTGACAACTGTAATGACCACAGCACTACTGCTGAACAGTTAAGTATAAGGAAAAACAACACTTTTAGGGTTGTGTAGCAGTTTCCCAGACCTATCACAAGCTTGCTACGAAAGAAAACATAGCTATCACCACTTGGAATATGAAAGTGGGCTTAGATTAATAGGTACTATGAAAAGTTATTATGTCTACAAAGCAAAATTCTTAAGTTTACACAGATAGGTGGTTTATTTCTGTGTGCAAAAGCACTGGGGCATTGGTGAAAAGGGGATTTGGCAGCTACTGAGGGGGAATAGTAGTTATTGGACCCTGGCTATTGCTGAAAAAAACCTTTCACTCTCACAGTAACCAGGAATTTACCCCTGGGTCCTTAGGTCATTACTGACACTTTAAGCAACATCTTTGTATTTCTGTTCTGATAACCAAAGATGGCAATCTCTTCTTTCCTGGTGGAAATGTAAATCAGCAAAACCACCCATCTGGTGCAAACAAAGCCCTGAATATCCTACAGCCCCCAGCTACTGTACTTCTGAGTATGTGACAAGGAATATGACCTTGCACACTGGGACATAGCCAAGAATGTCCCCAAGCTGTTGTTTCCAATCCTGAAAAACACAGCCTAAATCTCAAAAAAAGCCTGATATAAACAAACAGTGCTCCCTAAAAAACAAAGACCACAATAGCTGAAATAAAAATGAAGCCTTATGTGTTAACATAGCTGTAGCTCTGAGCCATCAGAAAGCAAAAGTAATGACTGCAGACATATGAATTCCCAGATGCTGACATTTACTTCACTGCCACCTTTTTTTTTGGCTCAGCTGCAGATGTCGACCCCAAATGTTGAGCCTCTGACTGGCTGGGTCATCAGATGCTGTCCTCGGCCTCGTGCTGAGGTTATTCTAGGGGCTGCTTACTTCTGCTTTACATCATCAATCTATACCGTTCCAGCTGCTTCCTGTCTTTATCAATGTGCATGAATCTTTTACCCACTCAATGCTACTGCTTTTTGGTTCCTTTTCTAATCCCTTTACTTTTTCTTTTGGCAGTGCTGAGGATCAAACATAATCAAACCTAGGGTGCCACACATGCCAAGCAGACACCCTATCACTGAGCTACAACCTTTAGCCATAAGGTCATTTTGAGATCTCAGGAGAAAGGATGCCTTTGAACTAGACAGATACCTAACAAATAATTGAAGTCTCATTCTCTGAGTGAAAGTAGGAAGCTGAGTAAGGACAAGGTATAAAAAAAGAACAATCTTAACCGTTGATGATTTTACGCTAAGATCCTGTCTGAATATCATACTTAAATGCCCAAAATCTAGTAAGTCATTGTCTCTTTGAAGCAGAATAACTTAGTGAGTACTAACACAAGAACCAGACGCAGAGCATGTTTTTTTTAAACTTTTACTGCTGGAGACTGAGCCTAGGTCTTCATGCACACTAGGTAAGTGCTTTCCCACTGAGCCACACGCCAGCTCTAGCGCCTGCATTTACATGTCAGCTCTGCCGTCCAGCTATCTGACATTAGACAAGGAATTTAATTTCTCTGTGCCTGTCTCTCCACTCACAAATGGGGTAAATAAGGTAATCACAAGGCTGTACGAATATTAAATGACCTATCCGTGAAGTGCTTAGATGGTGCCTGAAACAATAAAGGCTATGTATTAGCTGTAGCTACTCAGCCTGAGATTAGATAGCTCTTTTCTGATCTCCTATTGGTGAATACTTACATCATGATCAGTTCACTTTTATTGCTATTACAAGTGTCAATCTGTTAACTTTCAGTTTACATGTTCTTAGCTTACTATTTGTTTTAGGTAAGTTGGCTATGCTTTTGTCAAACTATCCCCTGCAACACTTTCTACTGACATCAGAGTATAAGAATAATAGCTGCAGTGTAATTTTTTCTGTAAGAGTTGGGTTAGTAGTGTTTTTTTTCTTTTCAATTTTTGGTTTTTTGAGACTGAGTTTCACTACATAGTTCAAACTGGCTTCAAACTCACGATGTAGCCTAGGCTGGCTTTGAACATGAGGTAATCCTCCTATCTCAGTCTCCTGAGTGTAAGGACTACAAGCGTGTACCACTACGCCTGACTTTTAATGTTCTATTATTAATTCTCAAAAAAAGTGATGGAAGGGGCCGGGGAGATGGGTCAGTAGAATAAGTGCTTGCCTGGCAAGCACAAGGGCCTCAGTTCAGTCCCCGGTTCTGCCAAAAAATAAATAAAAGAACTCTTAAAAAAAGTGATGGAATTTTGCAAGACAAACACAAATATGTATTTGAGTACCTTACTAAAGCAGTTTGTTAGACTCATACATTTAATTTTAAATAACATTCATAAAAGAAATTATAAATAACTTACTTTGTGATAGTGGCAAAGAAGTTAACCACTGATGGCAGGCAAATCTTTAGAGGGTTTAGCTGGCTCATCACTATACGTTGAAAATTTAGACTCTGAAGATACCTCAAACCTTCAATTCAAAGAAAAACAAATTATAAGTACAAATACAATAGAAAAGTCTAAGATATCTTTGAAAGCACATATTATCATGCATTAAAAAAAAGTGTAGGGCCAGCCAGATGGCTCAGGAGATTCAAGCGCCTGCTTAGGCAGATGCAGGGGCCAGGGTTTAGATCCTTGGCTTGCCGTGTGGGCCCCACTCCTGGGGTATGCTGAGATAGTGACTGAGACTGGGCGTGGTGACGCATGCCTGTAATCCTAGCACTTGGGAGGCTGAAAACAGGACAATCATTATGAGTCTGATCTCCGTAATGAGCCTGTACTAAACACATTAAAAAAAAGACAAAAAAAACCTGGGCATTTAAAAGGAAAAGTGAATTACCTTACTTTGTAAAGCCTCATCTTTCTACTAGTTCATACAACTTTAATGCTCACATCTTTTTAGCATGCAGAGTGTAAGTAAATATGTGATAGCACACACACACATTTCAGTAGAGCTCTGGTTCTCACTCCCAGGAGACTATCACCAGAGGATAGGTGGCAGTGTCCGGAGATGGGTTTTTTAGTTGTCACAGTTTAAAGTGCATGAGGGCAAATGGTAGGTGGATGTGAGGGACTGTACTGGTTGATACTGTATCAACTTAAGAAGTTTAGAATTTATAATTATGGGACGCAACAGAGCCAGGATTCTTAAGTTTGTAAACATCCTCATCCTATGGAAGAGAAGAACATGGACACTGAGTTCTACACCCCCAGCCCCAGGGTATTTTATTTATAACGTAAGGAGGGGAGAGAGGCTGGTTAGAGGCTGCAGCTGCTGCCCTTCCCTTTGCTGTTTGATGTTTTCTGCTGCCATGAACTGCTGTGCTCTGCCATGTGTCACTCTGCCTGGGAGTCAGCTGAGTACAGACTGAAACCTCCATAAACTGAGATAAATAAACCTTTCTTTCCTTAATTTTGGGTGTTAGATATTTTATCCCAGCAAGGAGTAAAAGTAACTAAGACAGGGATACTGCTAAACAACACCCAAGATAGCTCACCACAATGCAGGATTATTTGGCCCAAGATGTCAAGTGTCAAGGCTGAGAAACCTCAGCTCAGAGGAAACAGCTGTAATCTGATCTTTCATGAAAATATTAACAACCCAACCTTTTAATTAACTGTTCTTTGGACTCTCTTCATCTGAAAAATGCACTACTATGCTTTGTCTGGTAGATCTGTTACAAATGACTTCAAAAGTCAGCAAAACTGCAAATGTGAACTCCATACTTCAGGCAGAGGAACATAACTCTATGATAAGCTTTATGAACAGCCTAGTGTGGTTTCAGGCTATAATCCTGGCAATAACTACATGACCTTAAGCACAGTCCTTCTGTGGGTTCCCAGAATAAGGAGGGAATGTACTGGAAGTGTTGTACAGGGCACCAACATAGCACAAGAACTCAGCCTCACTGCAAAAGATGGCTTCACTTTCACTCTCTGAAATAGGAGTTCTCTACCTCCAACCAAGCCACAGTTAAAGAGGAGGCTTGAAAAAGCTTCTAGGAATCTGTGAACTGCTTAAAATTATTTGAGAAGTGTGTCTGCAAATGCAGTTTCCTGAATCCAGTTTCCATTGAAATTTCAAAAAAAGCAAAGAACAAGTACACCAAGAAAATCCAGTGTGAGGCCACAAGTCCTTCTTACTGACCTTCTTTAAGGTTTCCATCTAAAAGCTGCTTGTGTCTAAAAACAAAGGTGTAGAACACAGCTTGGCAGGCTGAATAAAATGGTCCATGGAGAGCAACATCACAAAAAGCCTTTGCTCCTGAATCCTGGTTATTAAGGTATATGTGCAGCCAGTTCACCAAAAGATCGAGGCATGATTTTACAGTACTGGAAAGAAGAAAAAGCTCAAGTCAATTTTACTTGTTCATGAGAAAACTAGAGTGACAAAGAGACACACAAAAAACCCCAAACCAAACCAAACAAAACCCCACAGGTAGAGAGAAGCAGAGGAAAGGGAAGGAAGATGAATGTGGAAGACCAACCTTTCAATTACATAGGCTGAAGCAGCACCCACCTTCTAGAAACAACAGGTTTCTAGACATCTAAGGACATCCCAAGGGTTGGAGGACAGTTTCTCCTAATTAGTTCTAAAGGGCTTCTTGGATGGGTTCCTTAGCGCTGAGGATATGATAAAAGAACTAACATCTCACAAATAAAACAGAATCTGATAGACTTCAATATTCTACATGGTATTCTGATATAGTCCTATGGTCAACAATTTAAACCAGATAGGTTTAGTTGTTCAAAAAGAGTTTTTAACAGTATCTTTGCCTGAAGTGATCTTCACAGATCACCTAAAGGAACTGGCTTTGGATTTTTTGCTAGGGTTTGATCCTAGGGGTTGGTCTTACACATGCTAAGCACGTGCTCTGTCACTGGGCTACAACCTCATCCATTCCTGTTACTTTTAAAAGAGCTGTTCTTCAACGCTAACAGATACAGTTATCTGGAAAGCAAACAAAAAACCCTATAAAATCAAAGTAGTATATAATGCTATGTCCTATCCATCAAGACAAATGTATTTCAGATTCAAGTGAAACCACACAGAACAGCTAACAAAAGCTTTGCCTAAGAATATCCATCTAAAACAGGAGAAACTTTCTGAAAATATTTACTGAAAATTGAAATGTCTTATAGTGAGAGTGACAGATCTTTTCACTTTAAAAATAGCCTCCCCAAAGATATTTCTTTGACCTGATACAATGCTATCATCTCAATAAAGCAATTAACAAGTACTTGGAAAATTACTTACATAAGAGGAACAAATTTAGCTCTTGCCAAAAAGCTCCCAATATAATTTCCAGCAGCTTGCCTGATAATGGCAGGATTATTTGGATCCTGTAATTTTTTCCAGAGATGTTCCAAAAATGCTTCTGCAAATCCCTGTAAAGAGAATGTGGGGCTGGAAATGTAGCTTAGTGGCATAGTACCTGCCTGGCAAACTCGAGGCCCTGAGTTCAATTCCCATTCTGTCCTCCCCAACAAAAAAGAGAATGTGTTGGCCTGATCTCTTATTAATGCTTACACTACTGTGGCTGTCAGAATTGCAAGATTTTCTGCTTTTCCAAAGTGGTATGTAAGTTATAGTATCTCAGTTATGCTACTAAATAATGAATAGAGTGACCATAATTCTTAAAACATCCTAAACTAATACTAAGGCATCTCAGGTCATTTGGTCCAGGGGACCCTAACCCTAATTGAGCATCCAGATCAATGCCAAGCGCTGGGCATATTGCCGTGCACTTGTGCCAGCTACTGGGGAGGCTGAGGGTGACCTGCGTACAGGAGTTTATGTCCAGGTTGAGCAAAATAGCAAGACTGCCTCGACAGACATATAAACTTAATCCTAAAGATGCAGCTTCAATAGATCTAAGACAGGGATATGGAATCTGCATTTTGTAATTCTTCAAGTGATTCCAGGCAAAATAGAAGCAAGAATTCAGCAAACTTCCTAGAATGCAGCAAGTATAGTACCTTCTCAAATGGCAAGGTATCCTCCCTGTCTTTGCACACAATGAATTTAACTATACAGTGGTCTTTTACTTATCGCAGATTATGTTCCAAATACCCCTGCGATAAGTGAAAATCAGCATAGTTATAAACCTTTCCCACACTTTTAAAAACATTTCTAATGTTAACCATTTTCTAAACTTGTAGACCTATGTAATTTTAGCAACATATGAATACTGTACAGTACTGTAAGATCCTGTGATATAGTGAAAAATCCGTGACAAATAATTTAAATTAATATTTTTGAAAACCTGCGAAACACTGAGTCCACAAAAGTCGAAACAAAATAGAGGGAGTACTGTACACAGAAATATGAATTAAAATACAAAGCTTGGGCTAGAGAGATGACTTGGTGGTCTAAGTGTTGGCCTGGCAAATGCAAGGACCCAAGTTTGATCACTGGCACTGACTGTGGTGGTGCATGCCTGTAATCTCAGTGCTGGGGAGGCTGAGACAGGAAGATCACTATGAGTCTGAACTGCATAGCAAGACCCTCGACCACATAAACAAACAAAACAAGCAAGTATCTGCCATCTCTCTCTCTCTCTTTTTTTTTTGGTCTTTTTGAGACAGGGTCTCATTATGCAGTTCAAGCTGGCCTTGATCTCACTTTGCAACCCAGGCTGGCCTCAAACTTGCAATGATCTGAGTGCTGGGATTTTATGTGCGCATCACCACGCCTGGCTAAGGCTGCCATCTCTTAACTTCTCTCAAATAGTTAGCTCTTTTCTAAAGCTAGCAACCTCAGCTTTGGATAGATTGAATTTAACTTTCCTACCCTTGACCTGACTGCTCAAAGCAGCTATCAAATTGTTGTAAAGAAAAGGTATGATCTATTTGCATTTTCCTCCCCCACCAAGAGAACAAAGGGAACAGTTAAATATTCTCTGTATATATTTTATTTATTTATTTATCTATCTTTCCTTTTCCTTTTTGATGTGTCTCACTATGTAGTCCAGACTAGCCCTGAATTCCCAGCAATCCTCCTTCAGCCTCTTATGTGCTGGTATTACAGGCATGTACCATCTTGCTAAAGTCTGAAACAAAGAACACCCAGGTGACCAAGGGGATAACATCTCTAAGCTACAATGACAAACAGCTATCAGTATGGTGAAGACGGAATATCATTGTATTAAGGATACTAAGAAAACAAACTCAAATGAAAGAAATTCTCATGTTCTCCCTCCCACCTAGTTTTTAGGTGAATAATTGTGGGCAAGAATAAGATAATAACCATTTACTTACCAATTTGAAGCTACAGAGATAAAACATAAAAAACTGTACATGGCAGGAGGCATGGGTGGGCAACAGGAGTTTGTCAAAGACAGCTATCAAATCGCGATATAACTCTTTTGTTTTGTTGTTATCAATCTTACCTACAGAAAAGAATTTGGCATGTCAGTTCTATCAATAGTTATTTTCAAGCTAGTTTCATTTGTGATTTTTTTTTAAAAAAATACAGTACTATTAAGATACATGGTGTTACCCACTAGGCTACAATAAAACAAAATGCTGACTGGAAATTTTCAACTAAAATTACCAGCAAGACTGTCTCAAAACATCAAGGCTGATTCTTTGACTAGTAGGAATATGGTCACATAAATTGTCCTTATTTTTTTTTTATATTTTCCAAATTTTCTCTCATCAATGTCTTATTAATAGTCACATAAATTATCCTTATTTTTTTTTATATTTTCCAAATTTTCTCTCATCAATGTCTTATTAATGGTCACATAAATTGTCCTTATTTTTTTTTTATATTTTCCAAATTTTCTCTCATCAATGTCTTATTTTTTAAATAACAAAACCATTACAATGAGTAGTAAGGTCAATTAGATTCATCTAGTTAGGCCAAATAATTAGCCTCATTATTAAATTTTAGCAAAGTACATGGACAAAAATTTTGTACACTTTTATGAGGGCAAGAGGTGCACTAGGATCCATTTGCCAACCCAAGTCCCAGCATAACAATGTTACCAATAGAAATCCTCTAAATTAAATTTTATATCAAGGACCAAAATGCAATGTCTACTTCTAAATACACATTTCAGCAATATAAGTATGATTTTGGTCTCTGCCTCAAACTGAACAAACTCTATAACCTCTTAGTACTATAACAAAAAGATAAAGTCAGGCATGTTCGTGCACGCTTGCAATCCCAGCACTTGGGAGGCTGAGGTAGGAGGATCACTGAGAGTTCAAGATCAGCCTGGGCAACAAAGTGAGTTCAAGGCCAGCCTGAGCTGTATAGGGAGACTCTGTCTGAAAAAGACCAAAAAAGAAAAAGACGAAGGGACTTTGCCAATGAATATAATTAGATCTTAATTCCAGCCCCACCATTTTCATGTGAAACAGGTGAGCTGATCTTGCTAAACACTTTTTTCTCTCATACTATATTTTTATTAGTACTAGAGATCACACACAGAAGATGCCCACCCAGCAGAGCCCACATGAGCTATTGAGATGATCATAGGTTGTTACCATCCACATAGCAGACATCCTTGATGTAGGACAAAAGCAAGGACAGCAGGATGTCCAGGCGTTCGGCTACAGGATGGACCATCTGACCAAGCCACTCAGGACTATCCTTTGTTTCACGTTCAGCTTCTTCATCTTCATCCTTGGAATAAGTAAAAACTGACATTTAAAAATTCATTGAAAAAACTGGGCCTGGTGGTGCACACCTGTAATCCTAGCACTTAGGAGGCTGAGGCAGGAGGATCATTGTGAGCTTGAGACCGGACTGGGCTACAAAGAGAGCTCAAGGCCAGCCTGAACTAAATAGGGGGAAAAAAGTGATTTAGTGGGAAAATTCTCACAAGCCATTATTCCCACTACAGGAAAAGGGAGAGAATACATAGATACATTCCTAGGCAGAGTCTTTCATTCAGGGATATAAACCAGAACCACAAAGTTTAAAACAAAGCAAATTCAGGGCAATAGCTTGATTCTCTTGATTTTTGTCATTTATGGGATTGAACCCAGGACCTTGCAGCACAGGATAAGCCTCTGTTCTACCCCTGAACTAAAGCCATAGTCTGTATTTTTATTTGAAAGACCTCAAAACTGATCATGCGAACATCAATGTTTCCTTGTCCCTGGTTCCAGTGTTGATAGTGGGCACTCTTGGTGCTGGGTTCCCTTTTCCAGGTCAGGTTGTCAATCTGGAGGTTGCTGGGAGTGTTGGTTGCCAAAAACCAGCAAGTTTCCTCCTTGCCAAGCAGAAAAGAAGCCAAGACTGTCCTGACTGACTGAGAAGGGGTCAGGTGAGCCTATCTTCCTGGTTTTAAGCTAGGACCAAAATCTTAAGTGCAATTTATGTTCCAGAGCAATTTGGAGGATCAGAACTACTGCTTTTCACCAAGTGAGACCTAACTCATTCCCTTGCCCTTTGCTACTTCCTGACACTGTCCCACAGAACACCTGAAAGACTTAGGTTCTCCATCAACTGAACCCATCAGCGCTCAGCTAACACCCAGGATGGAAAAGTACTGCCTTAAGGTATCCAACTGGCAAAACAAAAGCTGAACTACTGTGGTTTTCTATTTACCACTTGCTCCAGCACAAACACTGAAAAAATTATATGACTGAAAATTGACCAGGCATAGTGGTACATGCCTGTAATCTCAGCATTTAGGAGGCTGAAGAAAGAGGATTACAGCAAGTTTTAGGCCAGCCTGGGCTACATAGTGAGTTTAAGACCAGCCTAAACCACACATGACAAGTTCCAAGAAACCAAAATCACCTGCCCCAAAAAAGAATGAAAATGATGCAAATTTCATTAAACCCTAATACAAAGCCCTGGATATAAACTAATTGTACCAGGTAGTTAGCAACATATTCATGTAAGGAATCATTTTCAGACTTGCTAAACTATTTAACTGTTTTAACCTAAAGCCTTGATAAAGAAGCCCCTAGGTACTTATTTCCATACTCTAAAATGATGAACTTCACAGACACATATCTGCTTTATCAAAAATTCTAACCATATTAAACAATCCTTCCATGGAATCTGTCCCGCCACAAGCTTGAGCTGCTGTTTCCTCAGCATCTTCAATATCCTGCCTGGATGCACTCACCTATAACATAAAAACATCACCATCATCACCATCATCACCATCATCATCATCACCATCATCAAAAAAATAAGTAATAAAGGCATTTAAAATATAACTATTCAAAGGCCGGAATTCATATGCCACACACAGGTCACACTTCTACCTTATATTGCAGAATTATAGTACAAAAAATATTTGCATCATCAAGGAATTTAATATCATCCTGTAACTCAGTTGTGTCCCAAATTTTCTGATCAGGGAGATTATGGGGCCACAGAGGAAAGTGATTGATGATGTAGAGTGTGCCTAAGGAGAGTCACATGGAGAGAAAACATTCTTTCAGGCTTTCAGAGAGCAAATTGATCACGCAATGGCCGTGACTCATGGCTGACACTGACAAAGGATCTACAAACTGCGGTACAGGGCTTCAGGTTAAATTCTGAGGGTATCTGACTGACCTTATTAGATACAAAAGTTACATTTATTATATAGATCTTGCTTTATCTTGGTCTTAACCATCCAACATAAAGGTATAAAAACGAAGTACAAAAAGTAAAGCCATATTAAATATGCTGAGCTGTAAAAGGCTCAAGTCAACAACTTCTGACATTGCCAGTCTTACGGAAAACTACTATTATCAACTACTGGACTATATTATTTTGCTGAATTCATGCACCTACAATATTTAAATGACAATGGAATACCCTTCTCTGACAAAACTAAACAAAAAAGGGAGATATAATGAATGACCATTTTGTATCTGCATATTCAAAATAGGAAATACATCTGCATTCTCTTAATTCAGTAGAGAGATTTGTTTGAATAGTGTTTGTGGACAGGATATCATGTCTGCATCTTGTACAATGAATAACCACTAAGACAATAATATGCGGGCCAGGGAGATGGCTCAGTGGAATAAGCACTTCCCTGGCAAGCTCAAGGAAGGGCCTGAGTTCAATCCCTGGTTCCGCCAAAAAAAAAAGACAACAATATGCAATCTATTAATTATTGAAACTATGCTAGTTATTAGTTTTGAAACTGTCTCACTGCTATTTGTTTCTCAATTATTTAAAAAAAAAGGAATTTAAGTATCAGTAATACATTATATCCAATATTAAATATTACAGCTGAAGCCTCTTTTACTTCATACTTAAATAAAATCAATACAGGGGCTGTGTACATGGCTCAGTACAATAAGCATTTCCCTGGCAAATACAGGGGCCTGAGTTTAATCCCCAGTACCACAAAAAACAAACAAACAAACAAATGAACAAAATGGCTGGGGAGATAGCTTGGTGGTCTAGGCACCTGCCTGGCAAGCACAAGGAGCTGGGTTTGATTCCTGGTACCACATGCCGTGCTGGCCATGGAACTCTGGGTGCGCCACGCCAGCCACTGAGACTGGGCATGGTGGCACATGCCTCTAATCCTAGCACTGGAGAAGCTGAGACAAGAGGATCACTACAAGTCTGAGCTGCACAGAGAGACCTTGTACCAAATAAATATATTAAAAAAAATAACAATAAAAAGATTTCAAAAAATTATAATGTATAAGCCAAATGTGAATGATTAAGTATGCTCTACACTTCATATACCTCACTTTAACATACTGTTCAAATCACATCTTTTTAAACTCTCCACATGATCTTTGTAGGCATACTTTAAAATGCTCCTTTAAAATACATCAGAGAAAAACTATAAAGATTACAGAGGCAGCTGTGAGAAATCCAAAAGAAAGTGCCTGTGCATCCAACTTCCAGCTTTTTTCAGCCCTGCTGTTTTTTACCTCCCAGCTTCCCTACAGTGAAAATGCTTTTCTTAATCAAGTCTTTCATCTCTCCAGACCACAAACCTACTTAAGTCTTCCTAGTTCTGATTCATGTCTCTCACCCCTGCTCCGTGCCCTTCCCCTAGTGATGGTACTCAAGGAGGTCTCTATCAGCCCTACTTCCCAACTATTAACTCTTCCTGAAATAAGAGACCTTCTTGTCAATTTAATGACAACGCCTTCCAGAAGGCACCAGGGACCACCTTCTAATTACCATGTCCATGCATTCTGCTTTTCTGTCTTCTTCAAAATGTCAGCAGTATGTGATGGGGCTGCACTGACCACTGTTGTCTCCTTGCTTTCACACTCGCTTTCCTCCATCTTCTGACCACCCTTCCCCTCCCATCCTAACCTATATGGTTCTGTAGGTCTGTTCTTGGTTCCTCACCTGCAGCCATAACCATCTGGTGAATAGTCTTCAACTATCTCTATTAGCAACTCAACTTCCTAGAAAAGAACATGTATCTTCCAACCTCCTCGTGTTTCTATTTGCTGTTAATGGAAACACCAAGAATCTAGTCCACAAGTAACTGTAAGATATCTTTTCCTTTCCCTCTGCTTCTCCACTTCCAACTCATTGTTAAGGACCAGTTCACCTTTCCTCCACAACGTCACTAAAATCCACCATTCCCTTTCATACCTTCCTCACAACTTACTGCAGGCCTCTTTAAACAGTGTCTACTTCTTCATTGTGTGCACTTGGAAGCTCGCAGCACAGAGTTCAAGAAATGTTAAATGAATAGTGAAACTGGATTCTTCGGCACTGTTACTGCTATTGTTTCACCAACTGTGTTTATAACAAGTTTTGCGCATTCAAAGTGAAAAATCAGGAAGAAAAAATATGATTATTCAGTACTTACATCCAACTTGAGGAGCTTTTCAATAACAAGTTCTAGAATTTCATGCCTTAAGGTTGGAAAATACACACTTATCCTTAGTAAATTATGAACGTAACATTCCTAAAGCAAAAAAACATTAAAAAATAAGTGTTTTAGCACAGAAGGTATCATAATAATACAAGCAAAGTATCAACTATGTGGTTAGTTTTTTTACTTTTTTGAGCCAGGGTCTTACCGTATAGTTCAGGTTGGCTCTGAACTCACTATGTAGCCCAGGCTGGTCCCAAAATCATATGATCGTCCTGCTCAGCCTCCCAAGTGCTGGGATTATAGGCAGGGACCACCACACCTAGCTAGAGTTTAAGTAAAAATTACTTGCAATACAGAAAATGTATTGCCTCTAGATACTGTTTCAGTGCAATTCCTTCCATCATCATTAATAAACTCATAATTTATTTTTAAACTTTTAAAAATACCTTAATGAAAGACCCAGTCCTAGCCCAGGTCCCTTGATTGTGTGGGAGAGCTTCGTGATACCCTGTGCCGGACCCTCTCCCACCCCGTTTAGATGCCCCCCACCACTCCGCAGACCTCCCCCACCCCGCCTGCCCAGTAGGAATTTCTGCTGTGTTCTGGGAACCCCAAGACCGAGCCCTAGCCCAGGACCCAAGTGTGTGGGACAGCTTCCTGCTACCCTGTGCCGGAGGGACCAGTCCCAGCCCAGGGGCAGCATGGGCCAGAAACCTCTTCCACTCCCTTGGGACAGCCCCCACCACTCCGCAGACCTCCCCCACCCCGCCTGCCAAGTAGGAATTTCTCCCGTGTTCGGGGAACCCCCAGACCCAGACCTAGCCCAGGTCCCCTGAGTGTGTGGGAGAACTTACTCTTCCCCCTACTTCACTTTGCCCCCTCCAGGCACAGCTCAGGCCTGCCATACAGGCCTGGGGTGTAACTCTGCAGCTGCAATCCCTGCAGAGAGTGTAGAGGATAGATCCACCCAGCTAGTCCAGGGGCAGAACATCTTGCCACAGGGGCAACACAAGTTCACCCTCAAGGACAGCAGCAGGAAGGAGCTGAGCACAGCAGCCAGACCCAAGCCAGACGCAGCTGGATAAGTCCAAACTTTATAGAGCTGTACCTGAACTTCAGTACGTGTGAAGGTTATAACTACAGCAAAGATCTACAACAAAGGTCAGAAGACAGTGCTACACAAAATGACGAGAAGGAACAAAATGC